GAAAAGATCTTTTGCATCGGACGCTCTCAGGCGTGTTCTTTTGGTGAAGAACAACGGACAGCGGTGCGGCGCTGCATGGCTCGGCATGACGGCCAGAGTCAGGTGTTTTTTTGGGGTGAAGATGATGTGGTTAACAAAAACCAGTTGCTAGACCGCCAGTGTCAGGTGGTGGTTGAGACCGTGAGGTGCCGTGACGACCCTGTTTCCAGGCCTTGCCCTTGCGTTTAGCAGACGCCAGCCGGAGTGAGGCAGGAACGGTTCCCGGTGGCACGTTGTCACCCATGTGTACAGACGCCCGGCTGGGCAAAAAAACTATATACCTAGTTTCGAAGGTGGTTGGGGTGGGTGCCAGGGGGGTCTAATCACCTTCTCAGGAGATGGTTGGGGCCCTAAGCCCTATAGGTAGACTTCCCAATGATTCCCTATTTGGGTCCGAAACCATTTAGTTTTGTGAGGCAGGGTGGCACGGTGTAACACATGCGTGCGCACCCTAAGGACGCATACTATAATTTGGACCGTAACAACATCAGCCCAACCAAGCGCATGGTTGGCATATTGCAGGGCCCCCCCAGCTGATCTGTCACAAATCGCGTTTGCCGTAGGTCCAATCCAAACTGGTCCAAAGCATGTTTCTTAGGGATCCAAGTGCCTTCTCAGAAGGTGATTGGAGACACTGTTCTGATCTGTTCTGTAGGTTTGGAGGGCTCCCTAGAAGTTCATGGGCTTATGGGCTTTAGTCACCTTTCATCTCATTGAGCTGCAGGGTCCTCCTGTTCTAGGGGTGCATCACGATTACCCCAGCCGACGCCCAGCACGGTCCTGCAGGCCGAGCTGGAAAAGGACCCCTCGCAGGGTGCCCAAGTCTGTTGTTTTATGTCCCCATCAGTCATTGCTCAGGGCCACTTCTAAAAATGAATCTGTTTTGCTCCCGCAGCACGCATGCATTGCCAGCTCCTTCATGTGGGCGAAAACTATACAAACAGCATACGGTTACGCCATTAAAATATGTGGAGGGCGGCCCAGGGCTGATCCTCCCGGAGGTCGTGTATAATTCCTATTTTGTCCGTATGTTTGGGGGCGACGGGCGGCTGAGACCGGTGAAGGCCTCCACGTAGGACCGGCCAAGGCCTCCACATAGGGCCGGTGAAGGCCTCCACGTGCGGCCGGTGAAAGCCCCCACGTAGGCCTCCACGTAGGGCCGGCGAAGGCCATTTTGTGAAATGTTTTAGGAAAAGTGCTTTTCCGCATGTCCTTTCCGCATGTTTTAATGGCTGGGCGGCCCCAGCAGATCCTTCACGGAGGTACACTAAAATACCTGTTTGGCTGCTTTAAAATCCGCATATTTTATTGTAGTAACCGTAAGAACCTCCACCCCTCCAGTCCATCTCTTTCAAGACGTCCAGTCTATTTCCAGTCCTGCTCCGGTTGCACCGGACCTTGCAGGTTGCCGACGGTCGGTCAAGACGTCCGCTTGGACAATCGCATCATCGATCTGAGAACGGTCCGGCAGCCCCGGTGGAACGGGGTTGATCGGCGGAGTTCGACGGATTGGGCCAGGTGGGCATATAAAGGATCATGAGCGAAAAATAGGCTGCAAAGATCTGCAAGAATTCAATCCAAGTTTGACTTGCTTATACTTATATGTGTTTTGATTGACTTGCTTTATATGTTAACTTTGCATTGCTTTTGTGTCAAGAAAGTGCTTCAATCAAAACTGCATGAGCAGTTGGAGATAAGAGCCTTTATGTTATTTTTTGCTTTTGGTGTGTGTGTGTGGATAACCTTTGACAAATGGTCTTTGTATGTAGCACAAGGGGTGAGAGTCTCTCCCTTGGTGTAAGGAGTTGAACAAGCATCTCCCTAACATCACCTTGGACAAACCATGATACGCCATGCAGCACATCCCAACCTTTGGCAGCACCCAGCTGCCACGTCACAAGACCAGTGGATCATGGGCTCCAAATTCCTTGGATGATCGTTTTTCACGTGTTTTCTTCTTCCCCCCCCCCGTGATTTCTTCTGTGAGTCCTTTGGATTGAAGTTTCAGGACCCACAACCCTTCCAGTCCATGGGGATGCTGAACCTTCAGCTAAGCCCTAAAATGTAGACGGCCGTTGGAAGGAGAGGTCACCCGTACTTCGGAGATCACTGGAACTCGTTCCGTTCGGTGTGTTCACTGTTGGGCCGATGGCGGACGTTCACTGAGGTGGCGAACCAAGCGATTTTTCGACTCCAGTCCCTTGGAGCGAAGTGCGGCGGCGCTCGTACGGTGCGGTTCGGCGCGGCGCGTTCCTGCCGGTGGTGGTTCGGCGCGGTGGTGACTGGTGCTGCGGTGAAGTGGCGGTGAAGTGGCCCATCCAGCATGCCAAGCCTTTGGCAGTGATCAGAATACCCCAGAAAGGCTTTTTGTTTAGGGGAGCGGGCAGTCGGAGATATTTATAATTACTTGAATTTTAGGCTGGTCAATCAGGAGAGGTTCACCAAGACTATATAAATCTCTTCATGAGGATAAGTACATTAGGACCATAGGATGAGGGATTGGTGAAATTGAGAGAGAGAGAGAGAGACTATGCAGGCAGTTCCTTCAAAAAACAAAATTACACCGGCATAGACGCCAGATAGCGGGTGTATAGGTTTGTCACCCCCAAAACGACATGATGTCATTCCTGGACCAGCACCAGCACACCACCAGCACGGCAAAATGAAAGCACCAGCACCAGCACCAGCACGGCAGCAGCACCTGCAGAACGAAACGCCGATCCAAAGCCAGCGCTTGCACCAGCACCAGCATGGCACCAGCACTGGCAAAACAAAACGCCGACCCAGCACCAGCACCAGCACAGCAGCAGCCTGCACCTGCACCAGCATCAGCATGGCAGCAGCACCCGCAAAACCAAAACGCCGATCCCGAGCCACACCATTGAGAAGTTGGAACCGCTATAGCCTGCAGCTATCTGGGGGGAAAAAACAACACTGGACAACACGGGTCCTGAAGAAGGGGAAGCAAGGCGATCAGTGCTGCCGAAAAAATTGTCCCCCAAGAATGGTGGACCAAACTATTTCCGGGGGGGGGGTCCGCAGGATAATTATGTCCAAACTTTCAATAATGGGCTCAGAGGGTTGTTGAGACCCTAATCCCAATCGTCTAAAGCTGCCATTCCAGACACTACCTTTGAGCCATTCCAGCGATCTCGTTTTACTGATAGGTCGGGCGTGTGCGAACTCTTCCGGGAGTTTTTGCTGCAGAACAAGTTCCAGGCTCCCCGGGGGGAGATGGGGGGAGCGCTGTGGCGTGTCTTGAAGATGGTGCCTGCCGCGGGGCGGAGTGTAGGAGAGGGAGATAGAAGGTGGGATCAACCTTGATGTGTGTCCATCAGCGGATGAAATGAGAAAGAATCCAATGTGATATTCTGAAAGAGCACAGTGGCGTGCTTGGCCCTTCGTATGCCACACACACACACACCAAACGCAGGCTGCGGAGTAAAGGATTTTCGTGTTTGATCGGTGGCAACTGCTCAATGAACTGAAGGAGTTGCAACGGTGCCTCAAGCTGGACCATGAACCTGTAGGGCACCACTACCCAAAAAATAGACAGGATCATACTTCACCACGTTTCCCCAAAGGGATTGTCTTGGGTGGTTGACTCCCTTTGAGTTTTAATGTGTGTGGTTGTGCTGAGGACTGTATACAACATCGCGTCTCCAGACCAACTGCAGGTCATCCAGGTCACCTTGCGACTGGGCGGTGGACCAACCCGATGTCTGCGACTCCAACCCACCAGGAGATCCACACCCCGAAGCTCATCGGCGGCGCGTCCGAAGGAGGCGTCCAGTCCCTCAGCTCCGGGCGGACGCGGTTCCGGTGGGGTTGATGCAGCTCGTGATGCCCAAAAGGGGCTTGGTACACCCTAAGGACCTCCTCAGAAGGTATGACTGGGCCCTCCTGGCGCCTGCATAAATTGTATAAATCTCCTTTTTGAGAAGGTATGTGGGTCCTTTAAGGGAGACCAAGAAGCGTGGACAGTTGGAGACCCTTGCTGGGGATTCGACCCGCGCTGAACATGCTGAAAAGGCCTATATCTATTCAATAATAATAAGATAATGCTAGAATCACGATGGGTATTCTTTTGTTTCTGGGGCCTGCCTGTGGTTTGGGCGATTGGGCCTCCCACTGGTTATCGTCGCTTTGTGGCACCTGACCTCATGGAAGGCGCCAAAAATCCAAGTTCGAGTGGATTCCTAGAAGGAACGAAGAGAGGTTAAGTGACCTTATAGAACCTTACTGGGGTACCTATGGGATAGGCTATAGGGTCCTTCAACCTCTGTTGGAATGATTGTAAATGATGTTGTCATTCACTCATTGCCAGTGCCAGTCACTCCTTTTGGCTGAGACTAAATACACAAAAGTCAAGGACTCACGCTAACCTGCAGTGCAGGCCTACGATCAGGCAGCGATAGGGTTAGTTGGGTCTCTTAGCAATGTGCATGGCAATTAGCAATTTGCAATTTGCATGTCACTGATGGCTGCCTTTAGCCTCAAGCCCTTGGGTAGCTGAGCGGTCGGGGCCTTTTTTGCACAAGTACAGGCTTTATGTTTTTAGATAAGGTTGTGGTACCTACAACATCCTACTACAGCTAGCATAGCTTCTCACAACAACGTCAATGGACATCACTATCAGCAAGGATCTAGAGGAAATAGTGTTTGCTTCCGCCGTGTTCGGTAAAATACCAGTTGCGAGATCTTCAATCCGAGTTTGGTCAAACCTTGCACATTCCATTTGGCAGTGGAGTCAGGTAGATTTCCCTAGCAGTTTGTATTTCTACCGGGTTGCAAGAATTCCTCCACCCCGTGTATCCAGGGTTTTGGTTGGAAAGAGGACCCACCCAGGCTGTGTTTCGCAGGAGTTGGTGGTTTCGGTCGGGCGCTGGGGATCCCAACCTCGCCGACCTGAAACTTCTGAATGCATTGCATGCCCCTGAATCAAGGTCCTTTGCAAGTCACTCAAGGTTCAGCCTCGGCTACCTAAGTTCCCCTTGCTTTAGCAAGATGATGTAGGGGGGTGGAAGTCTCCACTGCCTGATTTTGAAGGTCTTTTGCAACTCGTATAGGTGGGCTGGGCCAACCTGTCGGGCAATTACTGGCCCTTGCAAGTGGTGGCCATTTGCCATGGTTGATGAGCCGTGCGGGCAGGCCTCCCGGGGAGTGTGTAACGGAGTAAGGATGGAAAGTCGAATCAAGTCAGGGCAGCTAGGGTGTGCAAACTTTGCAAACCAAATCAAACCAAGACATCCAGAGAGTTGAATAACCTGGGCCAACTCATCGGGTCTTCAATGCACTGCCCATGACTGCCCTACTTAGGCCCTCGGGATCTCCATTGGACCTAGACAGGATGGTCCAGGTATGCTTGTAGATTGGTGGGAGCATCTACATTCGGATGAATCCTTACTAAGTTGGTAGAACATGCCTGAAATGAACAAATGGAAGTGGAAAAACCACCAGTTTGTAGAGGAAAATGATTATCCAAATGTAGATCCCCACATGCTATAGGAGTTCTTCTCCTTGACACCTTTTCCGAGCCCACAATGGAGGTGCATGAGTGCAGTCCTACTCTCTGCTGCATGGTGCTTCAGCAACCCTTTTCAGGCGAGGCGAACGGCCAAGCGCGATGCGACGGCTGCCATGCGATATGCGATCTGATGGGAACCATCCGAGTTTGCACCGGGCGTCGGTCAAGCACACCGATGATCGGCTGATGACCTGTACCCGTAGCGGGACGCTACCAACATCAGATAAGCTTAGGATAGTGGCAGCTGCCTGCCAAAGCAGGTTACACTCCCTGCCAAAATTAATGGAAGTGGACAACCCCCTGTTTGAGGAAGATTGTCTTTCAGGGGCCATGCCATCCAGTTCGATGATTGTTACAGGGAGGGTTTATTGGTCGTCTCTATAGAGGCACTCATCGACGTCGATGTGGAACGGCCAGTTTGAGGTCTACCCACCAAAGGAAGACCGTGCAAAAACACGTGAAAGCGGCGGGTGTCGGGATGTAGAACTGACCTTCACGATGACGTGAATCAGCCCTATAGGAGCAACTTGTTCTATACTTATAAATCTGTCTCATGCATCTACCCCACCGAAGACTCAAAAGACAGACCCTCAAGACTATCCTACTGTTTCTTGAGGGAAACAGTCGGACTCAGGGTGCCCCCCAAATAGAGGGTTCATGTGAGTTTGTCAGCTTTTGTTTGTTCCAAAAAGCTTTGACCAATGGATCTTCTTCGCGTCCCAACCCTGTCCGCCGCTTGCTACGGCTACCTGCGCCCAGCACGATCGTCAGGTCTTAGGGCTCACGCCCGAGGCCGATGGCCCAGCGGTGCACCGAGCCTTGCGACGCTTGGCCAAGGCCGTTCCGTGTGCGCGCGACGTGTGGATCACGTGAAGGGGGTGGGTGAGGTGGTTGAAAGGAGCAAGTGGTTGGAGGGAGGTTGGTTTTTCGGAGCTTCAAGGACTTGAAAGGTTCCGTCTTTAGGAAGAATCATCCCCAATTACGTTCAGTTGAAGAAGTTTTTTGCACATGTCCTTCAACATGTCCTTCATCCTCCTCATGTAGGTAAAAGCAGATGGTCAAAACCAAAAACTTCAAGGTGTTGTGTTCCACATGCTCCGCGGGCGGTGAGAGACTCTGACCAGGTGTATCATCCAGATGTTCCTGAGACCGGCGATGACCGGCTCTTCCGGCAAGTCCTTTGGGCGGCGGAGGAGCCAAACACGTCCGACCGCGACGTCACGGGCCTCTTGTCATCGGCAGAGTTCGAGGAGGTCCACGGTTTCGGTCATCCGGCGTGAGGGTGACTATATATGCCATGCATGCTATACTATATTGACTTGTATGATCTATAATGCGATTTCATGATGAGTTGATGAGGGTTTGGCTAGTTAGTTGGTCTGATTGTTCCTAGGACCTCCAACGAGCAGTAATAAGTGCTCAATCAAGGTTTTGATATAGTTTTTGAGATCTCGAGCATTCTTTGATGCTTCGAGCGTTGTGCTGGCATTCCCCTCAATCATCACCCTCGCATCCCTTACCCCTAGATCACACAGCCGCATAGCTGTTTCTCAACCAAACCCGGCCCTCAGCTGTGGGAATTGCCCGCAGGAGGCTGGATGGGTGGGTGTATGTGCAGGTGCACGCATGAAGACACCCTCATCCAATTCAGTTCCACCTGCCATTCAAGAGTTGCAATGGACGAAAGCAGCATGGACCAGCTGCGACTTTCAAGCCAGCAGACTTTTTGGCCCAAACCATAGGTGGATCACAGTGGATTGACCTTTTAGGGGTGTGATGGAGGGTAGGTCGTCTCCATCTGCCGGTGAGATTTTCAATGAGTGGAAGTCAAGTGATGCACTGTGCGCCCGGGGGAGCCGTGGTTACTTGGCCAACATCGCCAAGAACAGGGAGCTTAACCGTGCAGAAGTTGCTCACAACTATGAGATCCTGGCACCTATAATCCGCCATTTGGGTTTCTTGCCTCCATCTGTCCCCTGTGTCCAGTGATGCAAGCTACTCCCCCCAAATCATTGCAATTCCTATGCTTATAAAAGGTAAAATGAGTGAGGGGTTGGCTTCTGAGGTCTTCGCCCTTCATTGTCTACTATTGTGGAAGCAGTGGAGATGTTCTTGCACTTTGCCCGGAGCAGGGGGAAACCACTTCCTTCACGTGGGGGCCCTGTTTAATGTATAGCGCAGGTGCCCCAAGAGGTATAAGTAAGGGTTAGCGAGTCCTCTGTCCTGCTGAGGTTCAGCGGTGAAGCTTGAGGCATGGATCCTCAAGCGCTTGGTGTTCATTTTTGCCCGATTGGCCCGGCGCGGTCACAGACCAAGGGAGGTACCAATCCGGCAGTTGATGGACATTGCTGAGATTAGTTATCCAGAGGCCAGCCCGCGAACTACGAGCGGCAACTAGGCTCATCGTGTTTCCCCGTGCTATCAACTATTAATTCACCTTCAATCTCAAAAGATGTCCAAGATCCGCGAAGCCCGGCCTTCTCAGGTAGCAGGGATTCTTTGCCACCTCCGGCTGGTGATGACCCTGACCCTGAGGGTGGTGATGTTCAGGGTGAGGGCGAGGATGGGGAAAGTGAGGCGGCTGAGGATGATGTCATTGTTGAGCCAAATGAGATTGAAGGACTAAAGGACTGACGTTTGAAAAGGCTACACTAAAATCGCGTATTCATGGCACATGACATGTCACGGTTCCTCTTCCCAGGACTCCGGCGGGAAAGCTGGTGATGGAAACATGCGCACTGATGGAGGCAGGTTGTATATGCCATGCCATGTTGCAGCATATTAATCCGCATGGCTATGTTTTCATTGATATAGCTCCACATGCTCGCCAGCAACCGGTGGACCTACATCATCTTCGCCTGCTGGCAGCGTTCCACCTGCAGGCGAACAGTCCAAGGGTATTTTTGTGACTAGCCGACTAGCCCACTAGCTATGCAGGATGTTGTGGATCGACTAGAACCTTGTGCCAGGCCCTGCAGAACCTCGACCAGGACACTACACCGTCAAGTCCAAGATCCATGGGTTTGAATGCTTGCGCTGTGGGATGACTGGGTACATCAGGGATATCATGCAAACAGAATGCCCTCGACCCAATGATACCCCCAAGTACTACGAGGAGGATGAACCTGTAGCGGAATCAATCGAAACCCTTCCAAATGTGAAAGCATTAGAGGATGAACTAATGGCTTTAAAAGTCATGGAAGAGGAATTGGCAGCACTAGACGCCATTGAGCAGGAAAAGGAAATCTTAGAGGCTTTGATGATGGAGCAAGCCCAACTTGAAGCTGAAGAGGAAACGGACCAGAAGAAACGGGAGCTGGCTGAGAGGATGGTTGCCGACATGGCCACTATGGGTTTCCCACAAGATGTGGCTTGTTTGGCTGTTCAATCGGCCAAAAATGATTGGGGTGAAGCCTTGGATTTTGCAAACCAACACATCCAACCAGAACCCAAGAGGGGAATGGAGGAGGATTGTGATAAGGTTGCATCGGCCCAGGGGCGGATGCCGGCAACCCCATGTCAGTCCGACAGTATGCCTCCACCTCCAGTGCCTGCAAAACGGTTGCGATGTAAGAAGCCCGATCCAGTTCCTCAACCACCAGCCCCAATCTGCATCTTGAATCGCATTTGGATTCATCTTTAAGACCGGCTTCAGTGGGGAAGGGATCCTACCCCATACCACATCCTACTCCGTACCACAATGCCCTAGGTACTGACCAAACTGACACTTTGCCGACCGACCCTGCAGAGATGGACCATCTTGCCTCATCTGTGGCCGCAGAGAAGAGCCCCAGCGCTCCTCGGGATGCGGGAGCGGATGAGAACCAGAAGCTCTACCAGGAGCAAAAGCTTTGCCGTGAGAAAACCCTCATCCTTGGGGAACCTGATCCAGACCATGTTTCAACAGAGACCCTGGATTACAACGAGCTTCACAAGAAGGTAGGGGGTTCACTTCATGTGTGGATTGTGGACTGATATTTGAATGTGTATTGCTTGCATGTACTTAGTGGGTCGGACTATCATCAACCTTTGTTAGGCGGATGCTGCCGTGGAGGAGGGCAACCCCCGACCATCTGATGTTCTTGCATCTTGCACCAAGCCCATCTCACCAACCGAGCAGCGAGGCAAGTTCAAAGGCGACCAGGTCGACGCTGAGGATCACGATGGTGACCTGAGCGCTGCACCGAAGTCCGCCCGAGGTCGGGGTCGTGGCCGCGGCAAAGGGCGCGGCAGAGGGCGCGGCAAAGGGCGCGGCAAGGGGCGTGGGAGAAATGCGTCAAAAGTGAACAGGACCAAAACAGTACATGATTCTGAATCCCATGACCCTGAAGCTTGTGGATCGACTCAGCCAAGCAACAGGAAGAAGAGGTCACCATCCACCAAGCCACCCGCTGATGGTGAGCCAACCAAAAAAAGGAAGAATCATACAGGTACCAGGGGTACAAGGTCTGAAGCCAAGCGCGAGACCAGCAAGAGGGAACCCGAGACTGCTACCGAGAACAAGAAGCGACCTAAAGGTGGCAAACCATCAGCCCTCATGAATGGGCAGACCCACAAAGGTGACCATGAAATGGACACCGACACTCCCAATCCTAAGTCCAGCACAGCCAAGGCTGCCAAGGGCACCCCCAAGCCCACTTCCAAGCCCGATCAGAAGCGGGCTGGCTCTGGGGAGGTGACGGGCCCCGCCATGTCAAGTGAAGAGGCAAAAGCTCAGAAGAAAGCATTGCTTTCTCGCAAGTCTTGCGCATACAAAAAGGCCAGGTCGGAAGCTATCAAGGGCGGTTCGTCGTGGGAGGATGCCATCCAATTAGCGAAGAAGGCGGGAACCACATTTATGCATGCAATCACGTGCAGCCACATATCAATGCGCATGTAATGTGCGAAAGCTTTTTTGGCTGTGTGATGCAATGCCCATGCAGGCATATGCAGCTACCGAGTGATCTGCTTTTTGATCACCAAGCTCAGCTTGGTGTGGGGTACCTGTTGTGGGGTTGCTTGCAAAGCAAGCTTGAACATTTCATCGATGAGTGAAGTGATCTAAAGTGGGCAGTGGGTACACGCTCATGCCCGCGAAAGCTCGAAATCGGAGGTGGCCTCACTGGCTAGAAATGCGCGTGATTTCAACATGCAATTTCAATTCCACTTTGGCTGCTACATCATGCTAGTCAATTCCCTTTGAGTGGAACAGTGCAATGCATGCCGAGAGATTGCCCGCCCTCCAATCTAGAGAGATTGCCCACCCTCCAATCTAGAGCCCCTCAACTGTCACTTGCCCTGCCCATATTCTTCCTGGGAGGCTGGCATGAGCGATGCCTTTTGCTGCAAAGGATGGTTGGGCGCTGCGGGCTGTGATGTGCGGTTGGCCTGGCCAGAATTGGTTGGACATGTGGTTGGGGATGGGTGAGGTCCATGCAGCCGATCTCTGAACTCATGACAGTTGAAGCGTTTCAATCCGAAAACACCATGACCGAGCCATGCGTTCATCCCGCAGTGTTTTTGTCTGCACCTCAACTCCTTGCGCGATGTCGCTGTTGAAGAACCCCGTGGCGACACTACAACATGTGCAAGCACCCAAGGCCTGTTTTGCATTCTGACTGTTTTGCGGTTTGGGGTTGATTGATCAGTTCAAGTTCCAAGTTCACAAAATATGCATCGCCAGGCTTATCCCGCCATGCATTTTGCCCCATAAGCTTTTCCCAGGGTTCACGGTTCACACATCGCTCCCGATCAGGTTCTCATCGCCTGTGTCTGGGTCTTATAGCTTGGCCTCTTCTGTCGGACTGTGAAATGAATTGCGCAAAAATGGAGGTGTCCGAAAAACGCCGGTATATAGGCCATACAGGCACAATTTCGGACACCTTCGAAATTGTAAGATCTGAGGTCTTACTACTTGGATGGATGGAGGCCCCTGTTGGCGTTGACCAACTTCCCTTTGATTTGTTGGATCTTTTTTGCGGACAGCAAGCCATGTCGCAAGTATGGTGATGGCCCAAGAACTGTTTTGGCGGAGGCATTCAACCAATTGGTCCAAGTGCTAAACCGATCTTCCAAAGAGCTTTAGGTCAGAGAACGGCTACAAAGTGGCTAGCTATGACCGCAACATCAATCCCAAGACCATGGATTTCAATTCACCTGCGGGTTTTTTGCTCCTTGCCCACACTGTATGCTGAAGCTATCGTCTGAACCATCC